GGATCAGGACCCTCAGCGTGGCAGGACCCCGAGCTCTCCAGAGGGGGCCCTGAGGTGGGAGCTCCCTTTCCCCGGCATCATGCTGTGGCAGCAGGGCTCTGCCCATGGCTTTGGCGTCCGGGTGGGACAGACCTAGAGACAGACGGGGGGTGAGAAGTGTGAGAGCGGAGCCTGTTTGGGGATGCAGTTCTGCCTGTGGGACCATCAGTACTGCTGGGCTCTGCAGGGGCTGATCTGGGGCTGCTGGCAGTGCAGTGACCTCCCCCCCCACACAGAAAACCCCAAATCACCAGATGGTCCTGAGAGGTCGTGGGCTAAAAACCCCCTTAAATTGGTGAAAAAAACTGAGATTTTTCTCTAAGAAGCATGAGAGCGGCCACAAAAACCTGATCTGGTGACAGAATATGCTGGTTATATGCTCAGTGCCTGCTTTGCTTCAGTCTTCCCACAAAAAAACATGTGAGCAGGCAACCAGCGAAGTTACCATGGAGAGTAAAGGGGAAAGGCTGCAGATCAGGATAAGTAAAGAACACGTCAGAGATGTTCCGACCAATTTGAATGAATTCAGATCAGTGGGGCAGGAAGCTGTTCAACCCAGGGTGCTGAAAGAATAAGTCGAATAAATCTTAGAGCCACTGGCAATAATATTTGCAAACTCATGGACGCCAGAAGTGGTCTCAGAAGATGGGAGAAGGACTAACAGAGTGGACATTTTTAAAAGGGAAAAAGTAGGAGCCGGGGAACTATAGACCAGTCAGTCTGACCTTGATAGATGGAAAGCTACTAGAACAATGTATAAAACCTTCAATTTTGGAAAGGAAATCATGGCTCACCAAACTACTAGAATTTTTGGAGGGAGTCAACAGCGTGTGAACAAGGGTGACCTAGTCCATTTACTTAGATTTTCAGAAAGCCTTTGACAAGTTTCCTCCCAAAAGGCTTTTAAGCAAGGTAAGGTGTCATGGGATCAGTGGGAAGGTCCTCTCCTGGATCAGTAATTGGTTAAAAGGGTAGTAATAAATGGCTAATTTTCAGAGTGGAGAGAGGTAAATAGTGGTGCCCACCAGTGTTCTGTATTGGGACCAGTGCTGTTCAACATGTTCATAAATGTTCTGGAAAAAGGGGTAAACAGTGAGGTGGAATAATTTGCAGATGATACAAAACTACTCAAGAGAGTTAAGTTCAAAGCTGACTGCGATGAGCTACAAAGGGATCTCACAAAACTGGGTCACTGGGTAACAAAATGGCAGATGAAATTCAATGTTAATAAATGCAAAGTAATGCACATTGGGAAACATAATCCCAACTATCCATATAAACTGATGGGGTATAAATTAGCTGTTACTGCTCAAGGAAGAGATCTGAGAGTCACTATGGATAGTTCTCTGAAAACACCCACTCAGTGTGCAGCAACCATCAAAAAATCATTAAAGAAAGGGATAGATAATGAGACAGAAAATAAT